CCTCCCATGCCCCTGACAGACAACAGGGCCAAGTGGGATCTCAGTTAGTGTGATGATGCTGTTCTTAGGGACAATCATAATGCTGCCACCTACACTGTCCTTATGTTTGCAAAATGCCTTCACCAATATTCTCTCATCTGATGTAAAGGGCAAGTGCCCTTTACATGCTCACCATTTCACAGATTTAGGAACTGAGCATCAGGGTGGTAAGGTGACAGTCCAAAGTCACAAAGGCCATAAGAAGAAAATCCACCTATGGCAGGTTCTTTCTGCTACGCCAATGATAAAGAGAGAAGAAGGAGAAGACGAAGAAGAATAACAACAACAACTGCAACGCCAACCCCACCGACAGTCAAAGAGGCAGGGCTCAGGGACAATAAAAAATTCATTTAGAAGATGACATACCTTATGTCATCTAACAAGAGGTGAGGGAGAAAATGGAATCTCATTTTCCATTTGAACCTACCACAATTTGGCCACGACTGACCTTTCCAGTTTACTCTCCCTAGAATCAGTAATCATTTTCAGCATCGATAGGATTATCAGGCCCCTAGACCCCTGTACCCCCCAGGCCCCCTTTCTCCTTCGTGTCATCCCTATTTCAGCTCACGTAACTACCTTCTGTCCATCTTTCTGTCTCACATCCAGTTCACAGGAAAACCTCCAGAGTAATTCTCACATCCACCTGCTGGCTTCACCCCATTGTTTCTCCACACTGTAGCTAGATTCATCTTTCTACAGCACAAACCTGATCACAAGACCCTTCCAGATTTAACACCCCAGGACGTTATGGTTCATATATCCTACCATCTATCTCATAACGCAGTCCTGCTCAATGCCATTCCTCAGAATGGAGATCAAAGCCTTAGTGAAATATTTGAAAGCCTACCATAATTTTTGGCTATAACTTACCTTTCCAGCTTATGCTCCCTAGCACATCACAGTCGACTATTTACTACTCCCAGATTCTGTCATGAGCTTTACGGCCTCCACAACTTCATTCAAATAAGTCCCTCTATCAGAACACCAGCCCCCAAGTCTCCACCTGTTGTAATCCTACCCATCTTTGAAGGTCTAACTCAAAGTTTACTTTCTCCATGACTCTTCAGAGTGAATTTCCAATAACAATTGTTGATCAACTTAATTAGTTTTACAAACAAGTAAAGCAAACCTGGAGGTTAGGGTCGACTCATCCATGGCCACGCATTCCCAAAGCCAGCCAGTTCCAGAGAGTCCTGACTTTCAGTCTTCCACCCCTTCTCCTTCCTGTCTTTGCCTCCAGCCCCGTCTGTCCTGACTCCCCCGCACCCCCTCACCTCTCCTGCTGACTTCTCCCCTTCTTTCTCCATAGAAATCAATGGGACCCAGATCTGCCCCAACAACCTAGTCGCCTTCCATGACTTCTCCTCGGATCTGGAGAACGTGCCACACCTCCGCTACCTGCGGCTGGATGGGAACTTCCTGAAGCCGCCCATCCCGCTGGACCTCATGATGTGCTTCCGCCTGCTGCAGTCTGTGGTCATCTAGGCCTCACTCTGCCCCTGGATCTCCTCTGACTGGACTTGAATGCTGGTGGCCCAGGCACCTATGCCCACCATTCATTTTCTCTTTCCCGTTCTTGCTCCTAGCTTTGTCTTTCTTATCCCAGCTTCCTGAGGCAGGTACAGGCCACATATCCTGCAGCACCTGAGGCTTCTAGATCCAGACTTCCAAGGTCTTGACTTGGTCCACCCAGCTTAAAGACACCCACTGCACACCCAAACTTCTGGCCCCCAAAGCACAGATGTGTGTCTAAAGACGTCATATTCCCTTCTCGCTCCTCCTTCCCCCATCACTCCTGGGTAAGTCTGGGCCATGGACTGACATCTGGATCTTGGTCCTGGCTGAAGCAAACAGAAGATGGTCAGGGGCAGCCAGAGGTGATGTTCGGAAAGGCTTGCTGGAGATTTCTCCATTGTGAGCAGCTCTGGCCCCAAAAGGCCAAGAAACCCAGGTCCCCTTGGCCAAGGATCCTGTCTTCCAAAACTGCCGCTCCACGGCCTGTTCACCGGCATCAGACATCAGGGTGGCTCTCTTCTCCAGAGAGGAAGTGCAAGGGAATGGCCGAGGGAGTGTTGGAGGGTCAGGGTTCCCGTGAGGGCCTGCATTTGGCTGTGTCTTCACCGGATGAGCTAGGGCCCTCCTTCTCTGGGGTGAACACAGCACACATCCTCCTGGCTGGGTCTCTCTATCCCAAGAGCAAGAGCAGGGAAGGACAGTCAAGGAGAAGGCTCAAAGAAGCAGGAATCAAGCCGTGGGAGAAGAACGGGAGTCAGAGCCTCTGGATGGGCCCGTGTGGGTCCACTTGGGTCCTGCAGCCCGCACGGTCACTCAGGACAAGAGGCCTGCTGCCCTGGGGAACACAGTGTCCACACTGGAGGGTACAGAGCCACCAGCCCCGCGCCACCATCTGTTCTCTATCAGTGTGGATGGCCCAGTCCTTTCCACCCTCCAGGAGCGGTTCCTGAGAACCCCTAGAGAAGGGGCAGAGCACCTGGAAATCTCCCAGAAGCCTCTTCCAAGTGTCTAAATTGGCCTCCTCTCTAAGACAGACGCATCAGCGACACCTGGTGGCTGGTGCAGGTCACAGCTGGCTCCCATCTTCCTCACCTCTCTCTGATGTGGCCTGGGCTCCAACGTGAAGAGCCATGGGCGATGTGCATGGTCTCTCTCTCCTCTGGGGTCTAAAGGGCACAAAGTACAGAGGCCCTGAGGTGGGGGCTGACTCCCATCCTGAGCGAGCACCAGTGGGAACCTTGGGGAACTCAGGTAGGGTGCAGTTTGTTCCCATTTGCTGTGACCTTGCCAGTCCCTTCTGCTCTCAGCTCCCATATCTGTGAACCGAGGGGAGATAAGATGCCCCTCCGAGGTCCCTCTAGCGCTCATGTTCCAGTGTAAGGCTCCACCCTTTATAATCTATATATATATATATTTTTTTTTTTTTTTTGAGGAAGATCAGCCCTGAGCTAACATCCATGCTAATCCTCCTCTTTTTTTGCTGAGGAAGACCGGCCCTGAACTAACATCTATTGCCAATCCTCCTCCTTTTGTTTTTTCCCTTTTTCTCCCCAAAGCCCCAGTAGATAGTTGTATGTCATAGTTGCACATCCTTCTAGTTGCTGTATGTGGGACGCGGCCTCAGTGTGGCCGGACAAGTGGTGCATCGGTGCGCGCCCGGGATCCGAACCCCGGCCGCCAGTAGCGAAGGGTGCGCACTTAACCGCTAAGCCACAGGGCTGGCCCTGGCTCCACCCTTTAAACTATGCTCTAATGCAGGACAAGTGCTAAATTTTACCCCTTTTCTTGCAGTAATTTATTCCCTGTACGGACTGCCCCCCACACACAAAGCTCCCCGCCCCATGCCCCTCCACGTGGCAGGCCTCCACGTGGAGCCTGGGCCCCACAGGGCTGACTCACCGCCCCCATCCCCTTAACTTTCTCTAGGGGATGCCACCCCTCCATAGCCCCTGAATGTATATGTTGGTGAGGGTGGGAGGATGTTCTAGAAATGAGTAGGACACAGTGCCCACCCTCAAGTTAGGTTGAGAAAAGTTCTAGAGATTTTTAAGAAACTGGATTAAGCTATCCCTAAGTTCAAGAAATTCCCATTATACTCTTTCTCATCTTTCTCTTTTGCTAATTTACAGAAAACAGGGCCTGTTTCATCACAGCCTCCTTTGCCATGCTCCCATACAACTGCCTCATTCTTCCCAGCAGCAGCTGGTTTCCCCAAAGCTCCTGCTTCAAGTAGATGTATTATTGTACCTGTAAGCAACCCAGCGCTCTGGCCTGGATGAGCCCCCTTCTGCACCTTATTCACACTTTGCAACCTCAGCCCCCTGGTGAGGCCCTCAGGGGAGCATAGCTCCTGTGGTTTCCCAGGAGGGAGGGGTCAACCCCACTCCTGCAAACCTGAACTGTTCTGTTTCAGCAGCAACACAATCACCATCATCCCACTGCCTGTCTAGAATACGTCTGCTCCCTCCATTGCTCCCTGCGGCTATAAGCTAGAGAGGATTCAAGTTCAGTTGGCTTTACAGAAACATCCCCCACGATGTGCTGATTTCCCCCGGGTTTATGGAAGCCCCCCTCCATACACGAGTTCACTCTCTCAGTGCCGTTGTGTGTACACAGGTGTTTATGTGTACTCTGTACCTATATCTGTTCTTTCTTGAAGACCATGTTAACTTTGTGAAACAACTTTCACATTCCAACATGCTTCACAGCAGAGGAAATAAAGTAATATGTAAAATATCCTGCTTGAACTTGACATTGTGAACAGGTCAAGAATAATACCTTAAAGTCATCTTGCCACTCCTGTTTTGTTTTTTGTTTTTGGTGAGGAAGAGTGGCCCTGAGCTAACATCTGTGCCCATTTTCTTCTACTTTGTATGTAGGACACCACCACAGCATGGCTTGATGAGCAGTGTGTAGGTCTGCACCCAGGACCCGAACCCATGAACACCAGGCCACTGAAGCAGAACATGCAAATTAACCACTATGCCACCGGGCCGGCCGCAAAAGGATCCTATTCTTAAGAAACTCTAAGAAAACGATTCCAAAGCCTTTTCTCAATGAATTTCCCCAAAATTCACAACCCTCATGAAAAATTATTCCTAGAGTCAGAGCAGAAATCTGACAGCTACATTTCACGCCCAAAGCCTTGGGTTCTTTAAACCCAGATACCAAATTGTTGAGGGTCACCCAAATGCTCAGTACTGAGCCAGACATGGAAAGACACAAAACAGTCACCAACCCTGACGCAGCAAAGCTTGCAGACTAGTGGAGGAGATGCTTATCACGCAGATGTTCCCAGGAGGGTGAGAACGGGGTGCCCGGAACCACTCTTCAGCTTCCAGAGTGAGCTGTGATCCTTCTGGCCACACCATCTGCTTTAGGATGAAAAGCTCCCAGGCTGCACACACTCCTCCCCCCTGCCTCCTAAACACCTGTTTCAGTTCAATTCAGCAAGTTTTCAGCGGCCATCAACTGGGTGCAAGGTTGCCAGCTAAGAATTCAGGGATAGGTAATATATACCCCATGCCCTTGAGGAATTCATAGCTTGGTAAAGGGGAAAATCCATGAATTAGTATTTGCATGTCTGAAGTGTCTATAATAATGCTGTGTAAAAGAGCATGGTGGAGAGGGCCTTTACTGCTGCCTGGTAGAAACCAGCAAGGTTCCTATCATTTGAGCCGGATCTTAAGGGATGAAACAGATTTTGCCAGGTAGGAGAACATAACCTGGAGGGGAAACAGCATGATCCCAAAGGTAGGAAGGCATGGAGTATGCCCTGTGGGGTGTGTGTGTCTGAGAAGGGGAGAGGGCCGGGTTCCTCACAGAGTTATGTGGCTACAAGCCCTTGGCAGGGAATATATCCCTGTTGTCCAAAAAGCAGGAGGGATCCTGAAATTTCCACCCCTGCCTCTCTCCCTGCCCATGAAAGGGGCAGCCACAGGGTCAGCAGGCCAGACTTCTGTCCCCACCACCTGCCACCTCCCTTCCATCAGCATGCCTTGTGCTTCTCCTAATGAGAGGTTTGGATGAGAAGGGCGCCCGCACTCCCGCCTGCTGTTCCAGGATTTCCGGGAGCTGGGCCGCCTGAACAACAGCAGGATGCCTGGGCGGTTCCCACACAGGCACAAGCACACGGTCCCCTGGGCCCTCCCTGACATCCACGGGAACCGGAGCGTCTGCGGACGAGCTCGTGCAGCGGGGGTCGGAGCTAGGAGAGGGTCGCAGGTGGGAGAGGGTCGCAGCTGGGAGTGGTTCGCAACTGGGAGAGGGTCGCAACTGGGAGAAGGTTGAGGACGTGACGCCCGCCCGGGTCAGAAGCGGCTGGGGGAGGGGAGAGGGGGATGCGCGTGCGCTGCAGGGCGCTGACAGCGCGTGGCTGCAGAGCTGGAAGAGCTGGGGGGGGCACCCAATTGCAGGGCAAGGGGCGCGGTGGCAGAGCTGGGAGAGCGAGAGTGCTGGGGCGAGTGTCACCGAGTAAGCGGGGAGGGAGTGGGGCAGGCGACAGGGGAAGGAATGAATAGTCGCGTCTTCGTCCTCGCAGGGAATGAATGGGGTAGGGTGGGGTGGGAGGGAGTGACGCGGCTGACTGCGGGGACGGAGGGCCTCTGGCTGTGGAGCCCAAGCTATAGAGAGAATGAGGGAGGACAGCCGCCAAATGTGCCATCTGCTTCCTGGGCACCCTCAGCTCGGGCTCTCTCTCCCTCCACCCAGCAGAGCCCTGTGGTGTCTCTCCCAAGATGGGGGCTGCCCGGGCGCAGGAACATGCGTTGCTGTGACCAGGTTCTTGGGCTGGGGGAAGCCCCCTTCACACCAGCTGGTGCCCAAAACGCTGCAGGCCAAGCATTGCCCCTTGGGCCAGGCTATTAGATCTGCCCTGGCACCTGGTGAGCTGGGCAGAGATGAGTTCTGCCGAGGCCATCTGTTTCTGAGGGCAAAACACGGGGCGGGGGGGATGAAGAATGAACAAAGGAGGGCTCTCTGGCCTGAGAACTGAGAGTCAGGAAATCCAGGACCTGGCTCTGTGTGACCTTGGGCAAGTCACCTCACCTCACTGGGTCCCTGTGTCCCCATGTGTACAATGAGGGTTTTGGACTAGATGATCTTTAGGGAGCTTGCAGCTGAGATTCCGTATCTGGCCAGTGGGAGGGAGTAGGGGAAGGAACACCGTTGAAGAGCCTGGGCACATGTGCAGGCTGGCAGCATCTCGGGGGAGATATCTTAGCCCACTCCCTGCCTTCAGCAAGGACTTGACCTGTAGCAGCCGGGTGCACCAAGGAGAGGAGAGTCTCTCTCGATGTGTACATTTTCGGTGGGAGGAGGGGGACCGAGAGGATTCTTCTCTGCGGCTTGAGGACCCCACACAGTGCCTTCTGGTGTCTGTGATCAGGACCTCCTTTCTAGGGCCCAACCTAGCAGATTTAGAGAATTTCCTGTATCCGCCTCGAGGTCATCATGGGAGAACTTGAAGTTGGCTTTCAAATGCTACCCCACCCCCCATTCACCTTCTCTTTGAGTCGCCCTCCCTCTGGTGGTTGCTGTTCAGTTATGGGCCCATGTTGGGGCTCTGGGTGCTGAAGCTGGTTGGTGTACCCCAGTTCAGCCTCTTTTAATCTTTGGACTCCATACAAAGCATCATCACTCTCTAGCTGGAGGAAGGCAAGCCCCATCTCTCTACATACCCCACTGCTGCCTTCTCTGAGAGTACAGAATCTGAGGGGTGGGGCCCCCAGAGGGGATAGAACTGCCTGCCCCCTCAAAGAGGTGGCCAGAAAGAGAGAGAGGTAGCAGACAGAGAGAGAGAGGGAGAGATGAGGGTGGGAGGTGGGGAGGGGGATGTATAGGGAGGTGGGAGTGGAGCGGGTGGAGGGAGAGAGAAAGAATTCCCTCCCATCAAGCAAAGGAACTGAACCTTGGGGCACCTGCTGAGGAAAGAGGAGGGGAAACAGCTGGACATCAGGAAGAAGTTGGATTGGCCGCCTGCCTGCCTTGGCCAGCTCTGGCCCTCGCCAGGCACTGTCTACCCAGCCCCACTGCACACACTCTTTCCATCAGAGTCCCCACCTCTCTGGAAGCTGTGAGGCTCCGTTTGGAACCCAAAGAGTATACAGGGTAAGGTTCAAGGGTTGCGGCATTAGGCCCAATGGGTGGGCAGGTGAGGGGAAAGAGTATGGGCTGGGTGTGGATCGGGTAGAAGAGAGACTTCAGCCCTCTGGGCCAGAGAAGTTGCGGGGAGGCTTGGATGGGGGAGCATGGAGGCGAGGTAGTAAACTCTGTCTTAAGCCTTTTCTTTAAGGTTTTTTTAAGATTATATGATTTGGTTTGGAGTGAGGAATAGGAAGATGGAGGTAAGATGAAGAGATACCTCTTGCTACTGCTGGGAGCTTATTACCTCTTGCCCAGCTACAATTAAGAAAGGGGGAGAATCTACTAGAAACTTGTGCACCTGGCTTTGGGGAGGGCTGCATCATCAAAAATGCACTGGGTACCTGACACCACACAGCACACATTGCTTGACCTGTCTGTGCATATGTAGACGAACTCACTCCTGTGCACATCACATAGGTACACAATCTCCTCTGCACACACACAGGTGTCTATAGATATCTGAGGAGCCTTCCGGATGTGTGCACACTGCCACAACCACACACAAAGAGCTGTTTTGTTTCTACAAAGCTGCATTTATAAGTATATTTTATAAACTAACATTCTTTTTTTACAGCATATGTCAATTTTTAAGCCCATGTCTCCTAAATGGATGAGGCATTGCTGGACCTAGGCGTGCCTTATTCGTTTCTGTACCCTTAGAGACAAGTCCAGTGCCTGGAGCTTAATAGACACCCCATAAATGTTTGTTGAGCAAATGCGTGAATGAATGAAGAATCTTTTGAAAAAGCATAAGACTCCTTGATGTTGAAGTTTCTCTAAATCCAGGGTAGTGACTAATGATTGTAGTCTGAATATGTGGTTGTATAAGAGAGAACACCTGTATAAATGCACGAGTGTGTGCCTAGTTAGTAGGGAGGTGTGTAGACAAGGGGCCGTGCATGAGTGTGCCTGTGCTGAGATGAGTCGAGAGTCTGTGCTGGCTGTCTGCACGTGCCTGTGGCAGTGGATATCAGAGCGTGGGGAGCATGTAAAGAGACTCGAGTGGCGGTGAGAGGCCGCCTAGACACAGCCCAGCCTTTAGAGAGCTTGCACGTGTAATGAAGGCACTGAGTGTGTGAGGAATAGCGTAAGAGTCTGCAAGTGTGGGATGGGAAGTGGGGCATGTTTGTGAGCCGCTTGCACAAAGCTCGAGAGACCCCTGCCCCTCACATGGCTGCCCTTCCTCCTGCCCACTCCCCAGGACTGGATGCCCAGGTGACTCAGCCCCATTCTCATCCCAACCCCCACCCCCCAGGACCCCCATGAAGCTCTCAGCTTTCCTGAGCCTGCTGGCCCTGGTGCTGCAGGAAGCAGGGACAGCTTCTCTCCCAAAGAAGGAGAGGAGGAGGAGAGAGGACCAGACGCACGGGGATGGCAGTTCCAACAGAGCTCTGCACCTGGAGAACTATGTCCTGAGCCTGGACAACTACGATGAGGTCATTGATCTGAGCAACTATGAGGAGCCCGCAGACTACGGGGACCAGCTCCCCGAGGTGAGGGGCACATAGCAGAGCAGCTGCATTCCCTGCAAGAAACTGGGAGCCAGAGGCCTGGTCTCTCTCCACCTGCTCTGTAATGCAGGTGTCTCAAGCCTCCATCTCTTTCTCTAGGAGATGGAAATTCTTCTCCCTCCACAGGAACTTGTCACTTAGGTGATAGTAGGAAAGAGAACAATGAAATGTCAATTTCTTTATCCATTTGGAGAAAACTTGGTGGGACTTCCCTTGGAAATCATACATCACCCCCCTCCCCCTGCCTTCAAGTAAGACCGTAAGCCACATCTCTCTGGGACATCAGCAGTGTCTTCATATTCTCCCTAGAAAAAGAAATGCCACCACCCCCTCTCTTTTCTTAGACTGTCTTCAGTCTGAAGTCCCTTCTCAGCCCTTCCCGGCCTTTGCAGGGGCTAATCTGAAGCCTGACGCGTCTGCTGTGTGAGCTTGGTCAGTGAGGGGCAAGGGCAAAAGCACCAGCCCAGGAAATCTGGGGATGCGGGTCTAGCTCTGCCGCAGCTTGGCCACCAGCTGGCTCCTTGATTCCAGTCCCTCCACTCTCTGGGCCTCAGTTTCCTCACCCACGGAATGAAGATGTCAGACCAGATGCTCTCTAAGAAGGTGCCCTCCTTGATCACTCCTTCTGTTGTCCCTCCCTCCTTCTCCACAGTGACTCTTGGCAAGTGTGAAATTTGTCACTAGGGTTCCCAGAACCCAAAGTTAAGTCTCTCCCAGGCAACAGCTGGCTTACTGTGTGCTATGTGCTATGTCCCCAGGTTAAAGGGACCAGCCTGGCTCCTTCAACCAGGATCAGTTCCACTGAGAGCCTTTTGGGTCCAAGGACACCCTCTTTAAACCGCACAATGACCAGGCCTACTACACTGGGCCTGCTGGGTTCCCCAACAAGCCACGGTAAGTTTATTGTCACAAGTCTCAACATCCATAGGTCATAGCCTATGCAGACATGACCCGGCACCATAGGTACCAAAGCGGAGGATCAGGGTTGAGGGCGGAAGGTCAGGGCTGGCTCTTACCAGCAGGTAGAGAAGAGGAAACAGCCACAGTAAAAACAGAAAAAAAAAAATCAAAAGGAGAGGCTTGCTGTCCCCAGTGCTTTTGCCTGAACGCACACACTGAATAGAAGGCAAAGAAATGCAGGAATTCCGCTCTGCCTAGCAAAGCCACCCTACCTTATTTAATAGCATCACTGGGGGAGCAGGTTGACGCTAATTTGATTAGAGACAATTAAAAGGCTGTGGAGAAGAGTAAATATCTTTGTGGCTGTGACTTGGCACGGGGGCAAATGAAGCAGTCATACTGCTTTTCAGCTTTAAATTCCCTCCGTAGCAGCTCTTTTCCCCTCCAGGAGACCAGGATGCCATCCTATCTGGCAGTGAGGGGTTGGCCCTCTGCTGAGGGGATCAGACCTGAGGCAGAGGAGGGATGCAGTTAATTCCAGACTGGCTTGCCCTCAGTTCCTGTTCTCCTCTTGACATGTTTGCCGTGGGTGCCTCTAGGGTGTTGGGGCATCAGGAGGGAAAACACTTCAGTCCAGAATCCACAACCTCTCAGAGCTACAGAATCCCAGACTTAGGGAGACCATAAAGGGCCTCCACTTGACCTACCATTCAAGGCCTTGGGATGAGAAGGGCGCTGGGGCCCTCTCTGCTCCATCTACACTGTCTGGTCGCTGCTGGCGAGGAAGAGCTGCCTCTTAGTCTTGGGGCAGTGTCACTGCCTAACAGAGTTCCCCCTTGAGTTGGACTAGCAATCATCTCCCGTAGTCTCTGGCCCTTGAAATGGCAAATAATGGAAACCTCCTGCACTATTCAGTTGTCTGAGTCAGTAAAGTCTTCCCAACTTTTTAAAGCCAGTCTGAGTTCGATGGCCTGGCTTAAGTCTCACGACCACTAGTCGTGGACTGAGAACAGAGGAGGGCTGTTTCCCAATGTAAAACTGGGATGCTGACACCATAAGAAGGGGAAATGAATCCTGGGCAGGCACTGGCCACTCCACTTTGGCTCCGTTGTGTTTCTTGGAGCCACGTGGAATGTGTCTAACTCCTCATGCACAAGGCAGCTGGCAGTGCCATTGGCCATTCCAGCTTAATTCTATTTATTTCATCTTCACTGTATCTTTTGGGACCAGAGAGGAGCCCTGTGGGAAAAAAACCAATGGATGTTCTAGAAACACCCACATAGGCCCAGGAAAACGTACACAGGACAGGGTCTGATGAAAGCACTCATGGGCTTAGACTGAGTAATAGCCGAGGTGGATCTGCTTCTCTTAGGTCGAGGGCTGAGTTCCAGGCTGGGAGCTGCCACCAGCAATCCCTGGGTGCATTGTGACGGTGAGTTCTGGGCAGCAACCCAAGAGGACAAAGATGGCCATGGCTCAGATGCTCCTGGGGTGAGGGCCAGTGGTCCCAGAGGCTGAAAGGAGTCTTGACCTACGGGGTCTCCGTTTGTTCTCTCTTCCACCTGGACCAGGTCTACCTACCTGTCTGGTCTGTGTGTGCCTTGGTTCTTCTGTGTACTGTGATGATGCTGACCTACAGAACATCCCTCCTCTTCCCAAGACAACCGCCTACCTGTACGCCCGCTTCAACCGCATCAGCCATATCCGGGCTGGAGACTTCAAAGGGCTGAGTATGTAATGCCCTGGCAAAAGAGGAGGCAGGTCCGGCAAAGGGAACCCCCAGGGTCCTCTCCTTCGTCACTCAGCCACATGAACAGTCACCAGAGACAGGGTCCCACCTGTGTTAGCCTTTCCCCATTAGCTTTCAGTCTTTCCAGCCATCAGATGGAAACAGCCCCAAGACTCTCTAATACCTTCCCTTGAAGATTTCAGATGGCAGAAGTGCCCTGTTCTCATTTGTCCTCCCAAAAGCTCTGGGAAGGGAAAGATATGATCAAGCCTCTGTTTTCAGTATGTCCCAGCACCTGTAGCTCTGTGCCTGCCTGGCCTCTGGACAAGGCCATGCTAACCCAACCCTCCATGGCACTGATGCTGTTGACATGGCTTTTGTTTTCTGGTTTGCTTTGCTTCTTTATGGCTTATACCCTGCCTGCAATAGGAGACCTAGGCTCTAATCCAGGTTCTACCACCAATAACCACAGCCTTCTGGGCCTCAGTGTCCTTTTGTGAAGATTAATGGTGGAGGGTAGAGTGGGGATGGGCCGGGGATTCCTGGGCCACTTGGTCTTGCCCTCAAAAGGTTTCTTCCAGACGGATCCAAGGTGGGCAGCCACCATGCAGGACAGAACTCCAGGGAAAAGTATTGCAGAATCCAAGGGCTTTCTCAGAGAGTCCTGGTTTATAGTGTTCTCTCTTGTGATTTGGACCTGGTGCAGGTGGAGAACTGGCTAGCATTCCCTACCCTGAGAGGGACGGAGCAGGGTACCAGCAGCTCCCCGAGGGGCAAGGGAAGATGGCCATGTCTGTGTTCTCTATCCTGTGTTCCTTAGCAAAACTGAAAAGGATTGACCTCTCTAGCAATTTCATCTCCTCCATCGATGACGAGGCCCTCCGCCTGCTGCCTGATCTGAAGGATCTGATCCTCCCAGAGAACCAGCTGGCAGCTCTGCCTGTGCTGCCTACTGGCATCGAGGTCCTGGACGTCCGCCTGAATCAGCTCCGGAGCTCAGGGATACAGCCTGAAGCCTTCAGGGTGAGCCAGGGCCTTCGGTCCACCATCTACCACCTGCCACCCATGCCCAGAACCTCACACACATGCCTTGCCTTCACAGGGTGACCCTGCTCCAACCCTAGTCTGGAGTCTGAAAATCAAACCCTGTTCTTTTCATCACTTTATTAAAGGTTCTTTTTGTTGCAAGCAACTGATTCTGACTGAAGAAGAGGGTATTTTACCACCTGCCATCCCAGGAACCTCTGTGAAAAGAAACTTGGGCTTCATAGGCCTGTTCCTGGGAGTAGGGGTGGGGGTGTCAGAAACCAAGGTCGATAACTCTTCCTCTCCCTCTGGGGCACGTGGTCTCTTGGCTTCTTTCTGTGCATCTGCTCCATTCACCTCTGCACACCAGTGGCCTCTGCACACTCAGTGTCTGCTCCCTTACAACTCGGGCTTACATGTGACTTTGACTTGCAGTAGTGCTGGCTCCAGCCCTAACTCTACCTATCCTTTTATTTTTTTTTTTTTTTTTGTGTGTGTGTGTGTGTGTGTGTGTGTGTGTGTGTGAGGAAGATCAGCCCTGAGCTAACATCCATGCTAATCCTCCTCTTTTTGCTGAGGAAGAGTGGCTCTGAGTTAACATCTATTGCCAATCCTCCTCCTTTTTTTTCCCCCAAAGCCCCAGTAGATAGTTGTATGTCACAGTTGCACATCCTTCTAGTTGCTGTATGTGGGACGCGGCCTCAGCATGGCCGGAGAAGCGGTGCGTTGGTGCGTGCCCGGGATCTGAACCCGGGCCGCCAGTAGCGGAGCGCATGCACTTAACCGCTAAGCCACGGGGCCGGCCCTATCCTTTTATTTCTAAAACCCCCACTAACTGACTAATCATTGTCTTTCTATGATGAAATTCTCAAGAGAGACAATCTGACTGGTTACTGGCTGGCAGTTTTCATGGGAAGGGCTAACATGTAGCCAAAATATGCCCCTTGTGGCTGCCCAATCAACAGGGCCAAGAGGAGCCCCAGGCAATTGCAGTGATGAAGAGGAGCATGGACAAGATTGACACTCACAGGTTCAGTCGGCCTCAGGTGTGCCTGTGGCTCTCATTCTGCTGGTCTGGATGCTTCCAGAACATGCTCTCCACAGCTGCTCCAGGTTTAGCATCTGGAGGCTTTTCATTTGGGAAAATCTCTTCTGATAGCAGAGAAGTTGCAGCTGGGCTGAAATGTCCCCTTGTCCTGCCTCCCAGCCCGGCCTGCCCTTGCCCACTCCTTGCCCCCTCCTCATCAACTGCTGACCGGCTCCTTCACACTCCCCCAGCTGTGGCACCTCAATAGCTGCAGCTTCCCTTCTGCATCCAGTGGGAGTTAGCACCTGTGAGCTCCTGGGTATCGCCCACAGCACCCAGCACGGGGCCTGGCACATGGCTGAGGTTCAGGAGACCCTGAGTGAACGAATGGGGTCACATCAGGCATCCCTCACTGTTAGGGCCAGCCTCCCCCGCCCTTTGCCTCCTCCCCAGGCGCTGGAGAAGCTGCAGTTCCTCTACCTGGCTGACAACCTGCTAGAGTCCATCCCCGGGCCCCTGCCCCTGAGCCTGCGCGCGCTACACCTGCAGGTGAGCAGCCTTCCCAAGAACAAGGGGGTCCAACAGAGCACAGAAGGTGGAGGTCAGACAGCAGGAGCATCTTCGGCAGCGGTGGGGTCTCCTCACTGAGAGCTGATGGCAGACGTGGGTCAACAGGTCACATCACAGTCATTGTCCACAGACTCAGTGTGACTTCCTCCCTTTCCTTCTCTTTGAAACACCTCACCTCCCTCCACGTCCTTACCCCAACTCACCCAACTGTTTGTCCCTTCTCTCCTTCCCCTCTGTCTCTCCTCTTCCCTTCAGCCCTCTTCATCTCTCCTCTCTCCATCCACCCTCCATGGCCTCCTCTCCTCACCCTTGTTGTGTGACCTTGGCCTCATGTGCCTCGAGTTCTCCGGCTGCGAAAGGAGAGCAGAGCTGGTGGGTGTAGCTGATTGAGCCTGACTCTCCAGTGGAGGCTCAGTAGCTGTCGGTGTGTTCTTTCCAGAATAACAAGATAGAGACCATGCAAAGAGACGCCTTCTGCGACACTGAGAAGCATAAACACACGCGGCGGCAGCTGGAAGACATCCGCCTGGATGGCAATCCCATCAACCTGGGCCTCTTCCCCAGCGCCTACTTCTGCCTGCCACGGCTCCCCACAGGCCGCTTTGCCTAGCTCACCCTCCCTTTCCTCCCAGGTGAGAGCCCTCAGGGACCACCAAGGGCACAGGCACCCAGGCCCTATTTAGGGCCCAGTCCCCTGTCTCTAAACAGTGGTCTTTCATCCAGGCATTAATCAGCCTCATGATCTGGTTGCAAAAATCAACCCACCCCCCACCCCGCCCCAGCCACACACACACACACTGAAATGTTCTTCGGTAGCCAAATGTGCATTTTTCATCCTCTTCCCATCCCTGTCCCCTTCCACCTTATGGCTCCTGGCTCAGAGAATAGGGTTGTCAGCAGCAAAGCTCTTTCCCATATTCCCCATCCCTCCTACCCACACAGAATGCCAGGGAAGTCACGGAAGAGGAAGACGAGGAGAGAAAGAGGAGGAAAGGGGAGAATCAGTGGTGTGCTGGAACCAGCTCTTACTAGTAGGCTTGCAAGAACCGATTATTAAATTTTCCAGAATTTTGCAAGCCAGTTGTTAAACACAGCTTTTATTAAAAATTAAATTATATAAACTCCCAATTAAATATATTATGTTGAAAACAAAACAACAAAATAAATACTCAAACTCATCACTTCCCAACCATTTTACTATTAACCATGTTCTAGAACTTATTTTACGTCTGTGGGATCTGTGTGGTGGAAACACACTGACGTGCTCGTCTCTCCCTAGCTCTTTTCTCAGTGACGTCACATCGGTTATCTGAAATCAGCCGTGGTGGGAGTAGTTATACCATGGAAATCGGAACATGCTACACGTTGGGGTCTTGTCTTTTCTTTTTTTTTTTTTGAAAGCTGGTTGTTAAGCATTTGCCAGCACTGCTGAAGAGAAAGGAGAACTATTTAACTGGCCCTTTCCCTGCCCCAGGCCACCCCACTGGGGTAGGGTGGGGTTTCTATGGGGCTTTCTGTAATTTCCTGCTCTTCCTAGGCCAGGGCTGCTTGTTAGATTTGGAAGGAGCCATTTGTAAGGATGGAGAACTGAACTGAATCTTCGCCTGGATGCCCTCCTGTAGTGCTTACCTATCCTGGTTCTCTGGCCAGTCTCTGAGCATGGCCCGGCAACGGGTTCCTGGCCATGGGGGTTTCCACCCTCCAATGCTCCCTCCCATGTTTAACCACCAGAGGGCAGCCTTGTGCAAAGATAAATAAAGAAATAGAGCAATTCCTCGCCTGCAACCTTCTTGGATCTTGGGCGGGGCCTGCTGTGTTGGGAGGAGGGGAAGAAGGGCAACTGTGGTCCAGCCCACTTGCTGCTTGAATTACAAAGGGAGGGGAGCCGGCGCCCTTCTCCTCTTCTAAGGAGATGTTGGGCAGGGGGAGGTAATAGGGGGGTGCTTGGCACCAGATGTTGACTGAAGCATAAAGAAGGGGGGAGGCAGCAGTTCATTTCCTCACTCAGCAAGGAGTTCAGTGAGCACCTGCCTGCTGGGGCAGTGATAAGATGGTGTGCCACAGACATACTCCTTTTCCTCAGAGCTTAGAGGCCGGTGCAAAAGACACATGTTATAAAACATCACACAAATGACCACACTGTTCAGCTCATGATAAATGCTATAAAAGGATACACACAACACTGTGACAGCTTACAGGAGGGGCCAGTCTAAGGGTCCAGGAGACCTTGAAGAATCGAAGTCTGCGCTGAAACCTGAAGGAGGAGGGGTTAGCCAGGTGCTCTGTTGCCAAGGCAACCACTCCAGGTTTCAGGTGTGTCCTGTGGCCACGTGGAAACCCATTCCCCTGCCTCCCCTGCCTGTCTAGCACCTCTCCACGCGCTGCAGAGCCTCAGGACAGTCCTGCGGGCAGACCGTCAGCGATGAGTCACGTTCTTCAGATGAAGAAATGGAGAACTAGAGAAAAGAAAGCACTTACGCCAGCTCACAAGGCTGGCTGAGGCTTGGACCAAGACTCGACAGAACGACAGAACGGATGGGAGTCTTGGAGGTGGTGAGGGCGGTGCCCCCTCTCTCCTGGAGAGCCAAGGATCCTGGCACACCTGCCCAGGGGAGGGCTGGGAAGGCTGTGAGCAAATCGCTCCTTGCCTCTCAGAACAGTAGAATCTCAGAACAGGGGCGTCCTGGCCCTTCCCTCTCTTTTCTCCCCCAGGCTGTCACAGCAGGAGTGCTCTCTGTCCCTCATCCACCATCCCCTCCTCTCCCACACTGCCCGCTTCCACACCCTGCTTCGCTGGATGACCACAAGGCCTGGGCACACAACTCCTGAACGCCTCAAGACTCCCAACTGAAGAGACCCTGGCTTGAAATAATCCAATGAAAAAAACAGAAGGGTAGGGCCGGCCCCGTGGCTTAGCGGTGGCTTAGTGTGCGCGCTCCGCTGCTGGCGGCCCAGGTTCGGATCCTGGGTGCGCACCGATGCACCGCTTCTCCGGCCATGCTGAGGCCGCGTCCCACATACAGCAACAAGAAGGATGTGCAACTATGACACACAACTATCTACTGGGGCTTTGGGGGGAAAAAATAAATAAATAAATAAATAAATTTTAAAAAAAGAAAAAAAAAAACAGAAGGGGAATTTTCCAGAACTGGAGCTCCTGAGTGCTAGAAGCCACACCACACCCACATGCCCCAAGGTTAACGTGCTGAGTACAGAAAGCCATTGGTCCCCTTGCTCTGTTGGGGGAGAAGGGGACAAGTCCTGGAATTTCCAGACACTGTAACGGAAGCTTTTACGCACATCAGCTCATTTAATCCCAGCCACAGCCTTGGATGGCAGGGATGTTTATCTCCGTACTGCAGGGGGAACACAGGCTTCTGAAGGGAAGTGGCCCAGAGTCACACAGCTAGTAAGTGGCAGAGCCAGGATTCAAACCCAGGGCCTTTGAGCATAGGGCCCGAAGTTCTGCTCCTACACCAGCTTCAACATAGGCACTGCATTGAGCCCAGTCAGAGGTGGCAGGCTTCTGATGGGCTTTCCCTGAGGCCACTGCTGCTCCACGGGGTAAGATTCCGCCGGGGCCTGCCGCCTCTGCAGCTGTCTCCTAACTAATTGCCCCTTTTTGGCTAGGGAAGCCTGACGAATAGAAAGAATGCCCTGTTGGCCGTCTCCCTGAAGAAATTCTAAACAGTGCATCGTCCCTTGGCCCCTCCCGTGATCCAGGAGGGGGCAGGGAGAGAAATTACATCTTGATGCGGAGGAGCAGGGCTCCCACTTCCCAGGAACCTGAAGGAGTAAGGGTGGGCAGCTGGCCAGCGAAACAGAGAGCAGCTCTTTTTCCAGACTGAGGTCCTCCTGTCCTGTGGAATGGTAAAGATGTGACTCAGCCCTGAGAAGGAAAAACAGGGAATGGAGAGCAAAGAGGAGGGGGCCGTGGGGGTCACTGCTGACGCCAGCCAGCAGTCCTAGGGTGGCTTAAAATCCACTCTGTCAAGAGCCCGACTTTTCAAGCCTCAGTTCTCCAGGTCCTTAGTGGCCATCAACACCTGTACTCCACCTTGGCGACCTTGGCGAGTGCCCTTGCTCTTGGGCAGCTCTCTCCTTGCAGATCTGCGGGCCCTGTAGGAAGGAGCACCTCCCTGCCCTGCAGCTCTGTAGCACCCCGTGGCCTTCTGGATGGTTCTAGCTCCAGGCAGGCTGCCCCACCCTGTTCTGTGAGTGTCCTAAGAGGAGGTGGGGGAGAGGCCAGAGGGAGTTGGCAGTGACTGCCCCTCCACCGCCCACCCTCAACCACACAGCTCGGCCCAGGGCGGAGAAGGTGGGTGGATGGAGGGTGGGAGGGCCAGGGAGTGTTTCCTCGCCCTGACCTGGCCTGGGCTTCCTTCCTGCTTCCTTTTCCTTTTAGTCTCCTCGCTGAATAATAATCTCTGATGCTTATGCTGTAAATTTGCACTTTACAAGCTCTTTTACGTATAGGATCTAATTTATAGTCCCAATGACTACGTGAAAGAAGGTGTCATTAGCCCTACTTTTACAGACAGGAAATGGGAGGTTGAGTGATTCGTTCAAGAAAAAGATGACTTAGCAAATAGAAAAAGAAGATTGGGGGAAGGGATGGAAAGCCAACATTTCTTGGGAATTCCTGTAGGAGAAATGGGAAATCCCATTCCCAGCGGCTGGAGCAATGGATTAGTGTCCCTCCCTTCCCCACTCACCCCCACCCCCACCAGAGCTCTTTGAAAAGCAGGGAGTAGGGAGAGGTCTCCAGGCCAGAGACCTGGGTCAGGGCCTGCATCCTGGGAGAGCATGAGGTAATGAGGTGACCGTGGCTTCTGTGGATCTCAGCTCAGGAAAGCCCCAGGGCTCAAAGACACACTGTCTGCCAGCTCTGCCCCCACCCTGCAAGCACCCACGTGCCTGCCCATATCTGTGTCCTCCTTGCTTCCAGCCAGGAGGAGAGAGGCGGGCAGACAGGAGGTGGACACGCTCTGCCCCTCCCCCTCCACTGTCAGGATCTCTCTCAGCTTTCTCCTTCCTCCTTGCCTGCCCCTCCCTGCTCCCCCTCACGAGACACCAGCTCAATTTTGCCTTCCCTCTCTCTCAAGGTCACCTCTCAGGCTGGGCCAGCTTCACATTCCCTAGCAGCCACCACCTCACCATCTCACACACCTCCCTCCCCTGGTTGTCACCAGCTTCAACGAGGGTCTCCATGTGGGCTGCTGGCTTCTTTCTCCACCGCTCTCATGTCTCCCTTCCCCTCCAGGGGTGACAAAGCACCCAAGGGACCACCTCATTCCTGCCTCACTGCAATAAAATCCCCAAACCCGGGCCTCCTCCTTGTCTTCACATCAGCCTGTCCCTCCCTCCTAAGCGTGGCCAGCCCGTGGCTCTGAACACGCATGTGCACACCCCTTGAACGTGCACACAGAACACACTACACCTGCTCCCCCCTTTTCTCTCCTCTGCCTTCCCTCTGTCTCCCTTCCTGTGTCCCCTTCTGTGCTCCAGGCAGCAGAGCAAACAGCTTTTAGCCTTCTCCTAGCACCACCGGTCCAGCCCCGTTTTCTGGAATCCTTGTGTCTGGTGTGTGTCTAACACATTGTTCCTACACAAGAGGAAGTGCAAGGGTTTCATGCTGTGACCACCTGCAAAGGAACCTCGGTGCAAGGGAGCGAGTACTGGAATAAGAGTCCAGAGCCCCAGACCTGACCTGCTTGTGACACATGCCAGCACCTCATTCTGTCGACCCTCCCCTTGAAGCTCCCTCAGCCCAATTCTCTTGCTCGAAGCATGCCCAAGAGGCGTGGTTTCTGTCCCCATCTGCAACCCATTTCTAGTCTGAGAACAAAGACCAGATCCTCCCCAACTGTTCCCTGTGGCACAGACCCACATGGAGAAAGAGATTCCTAGTGGTGAAGGACACAAAGCGAGGCAAGGACTGAGCGTGCAGACGCACAGAACCATTGAGTCTCCCAAGTCAAGGTTTCTGATCTCAAATCGCCCTGACCCTGAAGCTGCCTTAGCTACAGGCCTTCCTGGGCCCCTCTGTGGTCCCTGCAGAAGCAGGACAATCCAAACTCTCCTCCCACCTGGGCCCAGGAACCTGTGACAGGGACACCTATCCTGAC